ATTTCCTGTCAGCTTCCACCATCGAACCGAACAGGTCGAGAATAGCATCCCCGTCTACAGATGCCTGGGCTGGAGCGCCCAATGGAAGAAGTGTCGGGATCAGCCAGGAATACAGGGCGCATCCATTTCCGTTGAAGAGCCTGCCTTGGGTATCGGACTTCACGTAGAGAACTTGTGGTGATCTTTTGATTGCGACTTGAAGTACTTCAAGGCACGTTCTGAATTGTGAGTTGCCCCTACCTGCAGCGGTTGAGGAGCGGAAAGGATCGTCTTCGAGGACACGCTCGATGCCTATTTGGAAGACGATACAAATCAATTTGTGATTGACTGCGACATCGGCACCCAGATTTGGTTGTCCTTGGTCATCGGTTCCAAGAGCTTCGATCAACAGTTGATTGAAATTGTCTTGATCAAAGTCAGTGACTCCATTTCCGTGGACAACGTGCGTTGCTAAAATAGAGGATGGCGGAGGCTCAAGGCCATTTGACTGTCGTGCAGTAGACACTGGCGCCATAAGCTCTCACACAAAACATCCATGGGTTGGTGGGAATGAATCGCCAACGCGTCAATGAAAAGCGAAAAGGGCGGAGTTGATATGTTACGCGTCGGTGTGAATACTTCTCCGTGAATATTGGCTTTTTGGGTTTATGGCTCACCGTAGTGCTTGGCATCTGAGCGTCTCGGAGTATCTGTTCGGAAAAACATAACATCCGGAGCCTTGCAATCCCGTCGAGCTGTAATTGACGTCTACTCAAAATATCTCTTCTATCTTTTCTTCTTCGTCAACCTCTTCGACCTTTGGCCTCTCTTCCTCATCTCTCATGAGTACTTGCACTAGTCGGTCACAGGCCTCCCTAACGCCCTCATCCTCGACGTGCGTATGCGTCTCTCTGATCAGCGGATAAACCTGCACTTGTCTCAACTTTTCCCGTCCTTCCTTCGTCGTGGTTAGCAGCAACAAGGTTTCGAGATGTGTTGTAAGAATGTCGTTGTCACTGTCCCTGGCCTTATCGGGTGGCAGGAGTTGCAAATCTGGGAGCATGTTTGCTGACTCTTCTTCCGGGAACTCCTCTGATCCAGCAAGTGGTAGCAGGATGTAAGGTAATATGTTGACGCCAGGAACTCCGTCCACAATTTCGGTGTCGTCAGCCAGAAGCAAAGGATGTTTGTCCACTTCAAAGGCAACATTCTTGATTGTACTGGCCACTCCTCTCCGCCGAATGTGGCTTTTGTGCTCTGTAAAGACTGTTAGTTTGCTTATGGGCACCACACCATCATAATCCCTCTTGCTCAGAAAATAATCCCGGCCCACTTTGTGTTTTGACAAGTCGGCCAAGAGATATGCCACATAGTCGAAATTTGCGTGTTTGTTGAGAGACCCATCGGCTCCTTTCACAAAGCAGTCAAGCAGTTGATCGAGGGCATAGGGGGATGTAGAGACTGTTTTAACGGGCAAGGCTCGTTTTAGATTGATCAACTTCTCCATGTCGTCTTTTTTGGCGAGGTTGGAGAGGAGCATGGCAATTTCATCAGCAGTTTGCTCCTTCGGGTCCTTCAATTGCAGTCAGCTTCGCCTTGGTAACGTGGGCATGAAACCGAGGGCCTGGAGGTGGAATCCAACCTACATACTGTTATCTTTCTGAGCAAGGTTTCAATAAGTTCGTCGTCTGCCACCAGATTCTCGAGGATTTCAGTGTCATGACTGATGTTGATCAAAATCGTGAGAGCATTCTTAGCTATGGGCTAGAGCCAAACCATGGAGCTGCGTCAGAACTGCGTAAATGGTACATATGTATAGACTCAGACATACGGTATAGTCCTTAACGAGAAGTTTCAGGTCTCTCACAGGGACGAGTTGAGGCTTTTTGAAGACTGTCGGATCTGAAGAGTGTCCAACAAGATGATCACAGGCTGAATGAGAGGGATTCTGTTAGTTCGGATCTTCCTGCCATGTAACCCTCTATTTGTATTTCGAGACACCCAGAGGAGTCGAGGGGAAGTCGAGGGTAGAGATACTCAAACGAAGGGGTTTGCTTACCAAGTTGTCGAATCTGAGTGTTTCCATGATGTAAAAACTCGAGCAACTAGGACGATTTAGCTATGATAGCCATGAATTTCCAAAGATTGGGCTTACCTCTTCCAACTCGGTGGGCATGGTGAGCGTGCTTCTGAGGGGAAGTCTAGGCGATTGAAGATACAAGCCTCATTTCAGGGACGCTGTCACCTTGACGAGTTTGATAAAGGTCCGAAAATGGCCTAGTTTTCAAATGACCGAATGACCGAATGACACGAATGACGACATATTTTGCACCCTGCGCTGCAACCACATCCACACTGCCACACCAACTATTACACCAAGCAAGACAACACCAACCGAACACCCAACCGCAGCTTGCTCCTCTTCGTCTCCCACGCTTTCCCGTCCAACACCCACTTCCACCCCTCTCACCCCTCGTCAGCCATGCCAGAGTCCATGCTCCACGCTAAATCATGCGAACCTCGCCTCATTAACCTCTTAGCATCATAGCGCTTCAGCCCTGATTTGCGCCACGATTCATATGCAGGCGCCCGCTCTCTTGGGCACTTAAGCAGCCTTTCGTCGCCCTGTTTCCTCGCCTTGTCGTAACACTATCCCCCATCCAAACTTGTTCGATCGTGGTTGGGGCGGGAAACGCAAGCTTATTCGGCCCAAAAGGTGGCCACAACATTGAATCCGCATGACCCTCTGCCACAACGAGTTTCAAAAGGTAGTTTCTCTTCCTGACGCAGTCATTTATCTTTTCGTCCAAGTCTCCGCGCGAGCTTCGTTGCACAAAGCACGATATTCATGCCGAGACCGTTTGACCTCCAAGCACTTCGGTCTGTGTCCGCTCATCACCGACGGCTTTCACTCCAGAGCATGATACAGTCTGTGTCGCCCACCCATATCCTATAGCTCTGAGGTCCAAGGCTGCGAAAACGTCACCAATCCTCAATTGACCGATGTAGAAACCATGGCCGCCAACGTTCTCGATCCTGGTCCCATGCCACCTCCACCTGGCCCCATAACAATTCGACAAGCCATCGACGACCTACAAGTCACCCTCAACCAAATCCGGCGTAAACTTCGCACCTTGATCGACTGGTACATATTTCCGGATGTTGTGCCTAATTCGATTCAAGCCTATGATCCACGACTCCAGATCCTACAGCTGCGATTGAAATCTCTTGCTACCATCGATTACCAGCGACTCCCTTATTTGATCGACGGCTCAGACGATCTCGCCTCACAATACTTGCTACAAATCGTAGAGCAGCTACTGTCCTCCGTGCGCGGAGTCCAGACCATCTTCGTGGAACACTACGATCGGGACCTGCAAGAGCGTCGGCCTTTTGGGACCATCTGGGAAACTCTTCTCTACAGACAGGACCAGATCAAGCAGCTGCCCGCGGTATGTCCTAGCATCCCACACCGTGCTGCCCCAGAAGACCTCAGGCCTGCAGAACTTGGCAATTTCTGTCCTGGGGCCTTGGGGATCAGCAACCACCGTGACAGAGGCCGACTAGGGTTCGTGGAGAAGAAAGAGCTGAACGACGATAATAAGCGCACGCTGAAGGCTTTTGGTGGCGCGTTCTTGAACTGGCAATGCTCCCACTGCGCCTGCAAGGTCCGCTATCACGTCGCCGCCAGCACGTCGTCCAACATCCACAACACGGACGAGATTCGCGAGCACCCCGGCTTGGACATTCAGTATCGCAGCTCCTTTCTGGCCAAGTGCCATCTATACCTCCCACCGTCGGAGAAGACGTCCAGCTTGTCCACCTCGACTTCTTTGTCAACCCACAACCGGCGCGACAGCTACGGCGTGGTCAAGTACGGCTGTGTATTCTGCTTCGCGACCGGCCACGAGCTTGAGCGCGGATTGACCGCCTTCGCCACCGTCCGCGAATTCGCCGAGCACCTCGCCCTCGAGCATAGGCATCCACTACCGCCGAGTCTACTGATTCATCGCTACTCTGTTGCTGTGGAGGGGAAAACCGTCATCGGTGGTCGCTGGGACTTGAATTTCTTGTGAGCTGGGGAGAGGGTGGGTCGGCGGGGTCATTGAATGAATGCACATCGGGACTGAACGCGGTTTCTTTTCTTCGATTTTCTTCTCCGGGAGTACAGGAGTACAGGAGTACGGGAGTATGGGTTGCAGACGAAGCTCTAATGACTGATGAACGAATTCACGATCCAGGCGGGGACCAGTGGGTATTTGGACGGCCGAGGCAAGTGACAGCGATGGGGATGCATCAAAGGGAGAATGTTATTTCCGGAATACTCTCTGTACGCGACCATGTAATTCTGTGTCTAATCCCGAGGAGTCTTACATGGTGCTTTACTCTGTCTCTTTCTCTGTGTCGCTCTGTGTGTCGCTCTCTCCCTTCCTGCTCTCTTGAATCCAATACAGACTCTTCAAAGTATTGCAGTTGTGAATGTTCATAAAAAAATCCCCAAGCCAAGCTCACCCTCCTCATCCCCAAAGCCGTCACCGTCGCCATATCAAGTGCTCCGCCCTCCGCCCTTCGCCCCTCCAGTTGCGGCTCGGACTGGGGATAACCATTCGAATCCGCTTCGCGAGGATGCGCCCATCCCAGCCCAGTTCCAGTCCATTCCAGCCCTGCCCAGCCAGGGCAGCGTTGCCTTGCCTTGCCCTGCCATGAGCATATATGCAACGCAGGTAAAATATACAAAACGCCTAGATACCCGCTCTCAACACGCATCATACCAGTGGATGATGCTCGGCACACGCACATGTGTGTGTTGGTATAAGTTGATGTGGGTTGATAGATATGCACTACCGCCATGGTAGATAGACAGATGGAAAAGATGCCCCATTCAACGCTTGCTGGCGCTAGTTCATGCATGAAAAACCCCCCCTGCCAAAATAATAACAAGAACAAAGGAGAGATGTCAAAAATGTATATATATAGACAAGAATCACAAGTGTAAAGAAGACACGGAGACTCGAAAGAAATCACACATTCTCTAGAACAACACCGACACTGACTCCAGGCCGGTGTCCTCGCGCGGCTGGTACCACGATTGGACTGTAGCTCTTCTTCTCGAGAATCTCCCACTTGCGCGCCTCCTTGATGAGCTGCTTTTCCGACTCCTTGCTCCACAGCAATTTGCCAAACGTGGACCCAGCCTTGCCGTCTGGCTGCGGCTTGGTGACTTTGAGAGTGTTCTTGGCGCCGGAGAGGTCTTTGGAGCCGCGAGAGGCTGACTTAGCCGAAGACGCCGTGCGTTTGTGCCGGTGTCCGCCCCCGAGGAATGAGCGTTGTGATTTGTTCGATCTCTGAGACGTGGTGGATGGATTGCGCGCATGGTTTCTCTGTGCAGAGCCAGTTCGGAGATGTGATTGCGATGATGTTTGGGCCTGTGCCTGAGCTTGGGCCTGGGCTTCGGCGCGGCGTGCGGCGAGTCTGGGTCCAGGGACGTGGATGCGCGCGGACTGCTTCCGAGAGAGCGAGACAGTTCGCGCAACTGCGACTTCTGCAGTCACTGGATTCGAAGCGACCGGATTAGATCGGGGAGGGACGGTCTTTTCGAGACCACGTAGTGACGATTTCTGCATCGCGTCATGGGAATGGGGCTGCAGCGATGAAGGCAACGTCGCAGATCGTTCTTTTGACGCCCGAGGAGCCGCCGACCGCAAAGCCAGGTCTTCCGTATTAGCACGCACAGGTCTCGATGGGATGACACCCGAACGTTGCTCGATGGCCGTCACAGTGCTCTTTGCCGCGTATTTCGAGAGAGGGATGAACTTGGCGTCCTTTTTCGGGACTGGGGGCGGCTTGTCGTCCGCTGGTGATGTTGTCATCGACTTTGCTGTTCTCTTTGGGCTGGGAGGGCCTTGTGGAATTGTGGGCGAGTCGTCAATGGGGCGATCCACGCGCTTGACCGCGGCCACGCGAGGAGGTACACTCTTCGGCGCTTGCGATTGCTGGACTGATGGTGATCTCGCAACCTTCACGGTCGATGCGTTCGATCTAGGAGAGTCATCTTCCTTTATTTCAACCACGGGCGAAGGGATCAGACGGCCAACTTCTTCGTGAGTCTTGCTGCCCAGTCGAGACTGATGATCGGACGACCATTGATACTGGACGGTAACGATTGGAGGTGGTTGATTCGATTTTTCGTCATGGTTTGCAATCGTGAGCGTAGGGACACTGGGGATTTTCTCAGCGGCAGAGGTGGCACTGCCCGTGGGTGCTGTTAGTCTCTCCACTGCAGCAATTGCTTCGTCGAAGTAGGCCGTGTTGACCGACGTGTGCTTCGTCGTCCATGCAGAAAGGCCACCGCTAGATGCTGCCGGCGGCTCTGGTGGAATCGGGGTGTGCCGCTCAGAGACACCACTTGCGCCTGTTGCTGAAGCTTCCACGTGCCGCAAGTGGCTGGGGGGAGGTGCCCGTTTCGACCGTGTCCGAGCAAGCTCTACTTGGACCGAATCAGGTCTGGTCATGACGAAATGGCCGTCCTCTACGCCCTTGGAATCTCGAAATGACTTGATATCGAAGAATATTTCGTCGACCGTGGTTGCGGAAGAAACAGATGATTGGAGCGAGTGAGCAGAGCTCCAAGGTGGCTCGCGATCCGTCGACGCCGTATTATCTTCAGGGCTGTTGATTGTCTGATCGTTCGGAGAAGCAATCTTGATCGGATTGAGAGGTTGTGGCTTTGGCACGGAGAAGTGGTCTTGCATAGGAGACAGGCGGGCTGGGGAAGTGGCTGATCTTCGTAATTGAGTAGGTGGCAGGTAATCATAACCTGCGTCGGGGACTCGACCGACGATCTTCACAGGGGCAGGGGAAGTGGTTGGAAAGAGCGAATATTTGCTTGCTGCCGGCGACCTCGTCATGGTTGGCGTCGTCAGTCGTCTCGGTGGCATCAGTGGCGTGGAAGGTTCTGATTCAGGACCTTTGTGGTCGTCGTGTTCACCGTTACCGGTTCCCTTCGTTGTCGGCCGACTGTCGTCGAAGGATTTAAGACTGTCCAGCGCCTTACTTCGTCTTGCAAGAAGTGAGGAAGAGCGCTTGGCCGCGGGAAGATTGAAAGGAATATCCAGTTCGAGCTTTGGTAGAGGCGGGCGTGTATACGGCTCCCTTACAGACCCAGAATCGGTCGCGGTCGCAGTTGACGGTCTTGAGATTGAGTCGTCTTCAGGCTTCTGAATGACTAAGTCCGTCGTCTTCGCAGTCAAGGATCTTTGATCCTTCTCGACTGGGGGTGGCGGTGCATCACGTCTGGGATGCTCTGGTTGCGTCGTTCGCAGCTTATCTCCCTCAGCTTTCGTTGTCTCGGAGGCTGTGTCTTTGTCCAAAACCACGAAACCGGTCGGAAGGCCTATCGTGGGGCCTGAAGGGACCTCATCTCGTCTGATAGCGGCTTGTCGAGATCTGAACAGCGTCCCTAGCTTCCTCCATCTCTTAGAGTTCATCTGAGCGGTATTGCTCGAGGTTTCCTGATGCTGGCGGAGGACAGGACTTTGATCGAAAACGCCGGACTGTTCGGGAGGAACACAGAAGAATGCGGGAGGGTGACTAGGACTGCCAAAAGCCAGGCCTATCAAGCTGTCTTCTGACTTCGATACACCATTCACGTTCTGCAGAGGTGAGGGTCGGTGATTCTCTGATGTCAGCGGTCGGATGGAAGGGACCTCGACACGCAGTTTCCGCTTCCCGGTTGGGCCACCGGATGTCGTTGGACGGATCTGAACCAGCCTGGGCCCAACGCTGCCTGCAGCACTCTGGCCGGTCGAAGATGAATCCCCAAAGGCAAAATCAAAGTCCTGCTGCTTCGCAGTCGGTTCAGCGGTCGACGGGTTGTGAAGAAGAGGATTCCGTTTGCGAATGGACAACCACCTCGTCGGCATGTTCAAAGTTCCGGACCAGCCAGTAGGGAAAAAGAAACCGATCAAAACAGGGACAAATGAGTGACTGTAAAAGGAATGCTTGAGAGGCGGGTGACCTTGCAACTCGCCCCAGCAAAGTTTGGGACCCAGGGCACCATGAAACAGTTACAAGGTGAGCATCGTGACACGCCCGGGCGGTCTGTCGCCTGCAACTCTTACTATGATTGACGATGTCCGATGTGTTTCCAGGCTGGGGGTTTGGTGGGTAGGTAGGAGAGAGCAAAGACGAAATCCGACGCACAAACTGCAACAAAAATTTGAATGACCAACCGCCGTGCCACTGTTTGCCCAGCAAAGACAGGGACTGGGGAATGGGCAGAGAAGCTCACCCCGACACGAGGTTGCAGAAGGGGACACAGAACAGACCGGGATAGAGCATGACTTGCATGGATGAGGTGGCATGCAGGTACAGCGATCGTTGGTGGCCGTCAATGCGACCTTTTTTCGATAGCCGAATCAGCATTGTTTCTTTCAGCCAGGTCGGCTGTGGCGCAGTGAGATTATTGACGACGGGGGTCTTTAAGAGGGCGGCACCAAGCTTGAGACCATCCTTCGAACGACTGCCGTTGCAGACCTGAGGATGATGGAAACGCAGTGGACAGGGTCAGGGAAAAGATGGAGAGCGGAGGTTTGAGGGAGCCACTCACAGATGCAGCCGTCTAACGGGTGCTGGAACCTATGGGCCTGGCGTGCTTCAGGTTCGCCCTAGTCTCTCGCGTGGCGTCCTGTCGCATGTCAGAAATCTTCCGACAGGTGGGATGGCTCTGTGTTAGAAAACCCCATTGATCTTTTGTTCGCACGAGATGTAGATATCCCCCTAAGAGACCTCGCACCGATGAAGGAGGATTGATCTTATTTCAGTCGGAAAGTACCGAGCAGCAAAGTAGAGTCAAAGACCGACGACGTCCTCATCGCTTTTCTCACGATCCCAGAGTACTCGAAGGTTGCCGCCGGACTGTTTGGCTTGATTGCCTCCCCAAGTTCGTACCCGGTCCTGTAATCTCGTCACCTGTGGGTTTCTTGGGCTCGGATTTCTCGGCTGCCCCTGAAACACATGGGCCTCAAAACATGTGTACCGAGTGCTACTCCGTAGCAAAGGGCCGCCACCACATGCTCCAAGCTTCGCAGAGATTGACTCCAACCGTAGTCCGCCTTCTTGATCGTGACTGGCTTCTTATTCTAGGATTACTGGGGAGGAAGGATGCCGAATGCTCCCCCACTCTGTAGCCAAAAGACGTCACTTAGAGCTGCTGTTCGCTAGATCTTTGCTGACCACCGTTCGCTGGGGGATTGTTGAGGCCATGGCGTGGCCATGGCTTGTTATTGGCGCGCTTCGGGGAATTCGACGGAGGCATGTTCGGTGGTGTTCGTCGATATTGTCCCAAGGGAATCAAAATGATCTTGAAATTGTCTTCTTTCGGGAGACGCCTGGTTCTTGTCCACCTCCTCTTTGAGTCGACCCCTGCATTGTGTGTGCTGCGGTGTGGTATACAAGTGATTGTGACAGAATCTGGGAGGTGACGGGCTCGAAGCCACATTTCGCTTGTGGGTATGTCTTCAATAACAGGATTTTGAAGGGTTTGGCGTGAGAAGGAGGCGGCGATCTTGGTCGGCCTGAAGATTGCATGTCACAATTCGACGAGCGGCCCTCGCGGCACTGCCCTGCGTAGGTACTCGGCTGACTGGTGAGCAATGCTTTTCGAAGCATGGGAGTGGGAAGTGCGAGAAGGAGTGAGGGAGACATTGACCGGGTCGTCTTTCCACCTCGCATTACATACCTGTGCTTTGCTGAGCACAATGATCAGAATCTTGCACGAAGTGTGCGGTTTGCGCCGCTGCTGGCTCGGAGGTCCAAGATTATGCATCCACCCGATCAATGTGATTGCACAATGCTTGCGAAGACTGAATGCGCGGAGAAACGTTGCAGCCCTGCAGAAAATTCAACAATGGCCGTAAATTTTCTTTGCTGGCCCAGTCTTCATACGGCTCCCTCGCTCAAGCTCTCCGCCATGTCTCTCTAGAGTGAACCAAGGACTCTACACCCAGGAATAAGCTTGGACTCTCACAATCTGTAGTTAATAAAGAAGTTGGCGTACTGTGAGAGGAAAGGAAAGGGACTGGAGTTATAAATCAGACTGGTGCCTTCCCGGCCCATTACAAAACACATCGAAGCCTGAGTAGATTACTGGAGAGAATTATACATTAGATTAATATCGCTCGTGCGCGCCACTACCATCTCATCTCTTCGACTCAGCTGTTGTTGCTGGCTCTGCGCGACCACCGTATACGACCTGGCCAACCGACTCAATAGATGGTGATCTTCTGCGCCATCCCCTTTGCTATCGATAGTGCAGTGATTTCCGCTGCCGAGTAGCCTCCACCATTCACAAGCTCGGCAGACTCGTTATCCTCCACAGTGTTATTACCATCATCGGCCCTCCCACCTCTTTGCATGGGCCCATACATGACTGTCCCAATCCTGACAAACTCCCAAGGCTCTATAGCCTTGAGGACTAGGCCTCGCTGACCGTCGATCATGAGGGCGAAACTGGGGAAATGCGGCTTGTCGTCAAAGGTTGCGGAGCCGCGGCCATGCACTGCTGCCACCTTGGTGTTGCCGGCAACAAGAATGTCCACTTCGGTCGACATTGGGTGGAGTTTGCGATATTTTGCATCCGATTTGGCGGCTTGGAGGAGGTATAGCGGGGCCTGTATGGATCTTTATTAGGGCTCATGGACGATAGTCGGAGACAGTTCAACGTGGTCGAGCGCGAAAAGGGGGAATTCAAAAAAGATGTCAGTGGCGAGACCTTACCTCCAGCGTGATCCAGCCCTTCTTGGCCCTGCCGTATCGATCTTTCCCCGCAATATCAACATGTGCGCAGATACACCGAGCCCTCAGATTCTTTCTATTCAGAGGATGGAAATTCACCTTGCCGTCCAGGCTGGCCCAAGACCAAGATGGTGCGCGATATTTCGGCGGATACCTCACCTCTGACTTGGTCGGGGGAGGCATTGCCGCGTCGTGTGCTGGGTCACTACACTGATGAGTTGGTTCGAACGTCTCTATTGACCAGCAAAGGTGTTGGAGAAGATCGTTGCGCCAGAGACCAGCGAGGTATTCGTCCCTTGTCAGAGTGCCCACAGTGTTCGCAATACCGGACAGAGCAGGCAGCTTGTCGTTGTCTCGTGTCAGGTTGCGAGAAGTGTATTCTTCAACCAGACTTAGCCAGACATTGGGCCAGGTGGTTGCATTGCTTTCTTTGTCGTCCGATCCGGATTTGGAGACAGAGCCGTCAGCAACGAAATTCGAGCCTGAAAATGACCCTCGATAACGTTGGAAACTCTCTACACAAAAGGGCACCATCCTCGGCCAGCACATATTGCTCGCATTCCCAGTAGAGCTCCTCGGTTCCAAAGTGCAATGTTCGCGGAGAAAGCAGTCGCTCCTGAAGTGTCCATCCGCGCTTGTTCAATGGCTCGTGCTTCAATGGCTGGACCGTTGCCCCAAAGCTTCCAACAACATATATCCTTGGTTTCTGTTTCAGAGATGATGGCATCCATTCCGGCGTGATGTATACTCGAGATTTCTGGGTACCACGCATGCCGAACATGTTATTGAATGTCCTGCAGACAACCCCATCACCTGTATAGTCTACCACCAGAGGCGCCGCAAGCGGTATGCATCGTCTTCCTGTGGACAGAGTATCGACGGAGATGTATGGTCTGGAGTTGGTCACTTCCAGTGGCTTCGACCCATCGCGAAAGCAACCAGAGGAGTCATCTGCTGAGCTCATAGCTGACAGTTTCAGGTAAGAAGCAAAGTAGACAATGCCCATCCTGGAAGCCTCCATTTCCCAGTCAAGCTAGCAAGTCGTAAGCGATGAAAACATGTATTGAAGGTGAGTGTACCTAGGATTGCCCGAGGCAAAGGAGAGGTGGGAAGTAAAGATCTGGATATTCTAACAGACACGAAAGAGACTTACATCGTCATCCTGTATGATGCATAGGGAGTCAATCCACAGAAAGGGAACCCCAAGCTCGCGAGTAATGGTGACAGCTTGTTGGAAAGTTGCCGGTAACCCATCGAGCGAGATACCTTTGCAGTGGTCTGCATATGTCTTCTTTGTTGTTGTAATGCGGTGCGAGAGCCCCCAGCAATGGCTGAGGGCTACGTAGTGTCCGTGCCGGCCACTGGTCTCCACGAGCCGAATAGTATCTCCTGAACCATTGACGTCGAGGACTCGAGTCGGTAATGGTGGTGACGAAGGTTTGTCTGAACAGGAATGACTTCGATTGCAGTCGTGGCCGGCATTGCAATCTTTCAACCACGTCTTGATTCGCTGTAGAGCGATCGCAGAACCTTGATGATTCGTTCGAAGCCGGCCTGGGACTGTTATAGCCAGGTCGGCATCTTCTCAGGAAATTAGAAAAGTATTAGTCGTTTTGTAAGGGGATATGATACCGTCGTCTGTACGGATCCTGAGGAATGTCCCTCTCATGCGAACATTCTCATTGCTATTGCCCTCAGCTTCTTCCACACTAGGTCCTGTACCCAGCCTCACACCGAGACCTATCAACTGAAGCGGTCGATCTGTGAAGGGGGACTTGTACCAGCTGCCAAAGAGCCATGGTCGAATCTTGCCACTGCTCTCCTCCTCAGCTGGAAAGCGCTCGCGAGGATCCAAAAAGGCTGGCTCGCGGAGGTCAGGTTCTGGGCCGGAATTGTCAAACATGGATGCGCCATTCTCCATGGCACGTAAACTTCCTAGGGAGCTATAATTGCTCTCGGTCTCTCGTGTCATAATTCTGCGGCCTGAAGGGTATTCCACGCCAGGTCTGAATGCCACCATGCCACCAATATCCATCAAGGAGCAGCCTGCCGCCCACCAGACGAGCCTGCATATCGCGCATGACTCTTTCGAGGCCTCTAAGGCGTCGAGGCTGGCATGATGCGGTAAAGCGTCTTGCTCTTCTGATGGTAACTCCCCGAATGGGATCTGATCGCAGAGTTCACAGAGCATCGTGGACAGGGCAACAGCTCGACTGTGAGAGCGGTTTGATCGCTGGCCTACATTGGAGACATAGCAGGATTCAGTCACAATGAGACTGCAAAGGACGAGACATGGTCAGACCGTCCCTAAGGCTGAGGTTGAGGCTGCGGTCACCAGAAAACGTTTCCATGGGTTGTGTTCAGCTGCTCGGGCTCTTCGGTTCTAGACCGCGGATACGAGGCTGGGACAAATCGGCTGCGACACTTTGGAAAGTGAAATTTCTCGAACGAGGGCATTTTAAGCGAACACAAGCGAATCATTGACATCGAGGAGGTGGTTGAAGTGAAGAGCGAGGCAGAATCGAAACTGAAGGATTCAAACATGTGGGTGCGCAGTTTTCAGATCTCATTGACTGGTCAGCACCGAGAATCGACTCTTTGAAACCGCCACAAGGCTCAAGCTTGCCAAACGCTTGTTTCTCTATTGATATTTCCATCTCCATCAGACAGATCTACCTACAGACTCACTTCGAACCTCGATGAACTGCGACACATCGGTAGCCATCTCTGACATGTCCGACATCAAAGCCGCCAATTCCTGTTCGTTATCCTCCTTTCTGAGCATCTCAAAGAAAGGATCAGTGTTGGGATTGTCCGGATCAGTCTCATGACAGCGAAGCTTGTTTGCCGAAGAGATTGGACTGACGAGTTTGAGAAACACTTCTCTTCGCGCATCGGCCCAGCGTCGAAGTATTGATGTCGATACACCTTCACTTAGGACGTGTGCTAGGGCGTCGGCCAGGGAGTCCGCGTCAAGCAGGCCCGTGCTGAGACCCAATCCGCCCCAGGGCTGCATTCAACTCATCAGCACTTCTCCCACGCAGACGTTCCGTCAGGAGGAAGTTATAAAGAGAGAGATAGAACATGGGAGACCAACGTACATTGTTCAGATGTGCCGCATCACCGATCAGCATACATCTCCCAGAGAGCATGGATGGGACAATTCGCTGATGAGTCTCGTACCTCTGCGACCGTATCACCTCATACTTGGCCGGTCGCGGGCCAGGAATCAACCTTTCCAGTTTCTGTCTCAGATTCCAGTCGAGAGCGTCTGGTTCACACTGCTCGAGAGACATGGCCACAGTGATACGATAGTAGCTGGGTCCATGCTCAGCCGGCCTTTGTATGGGGCTAAACAGAGCCCAGTCAATTGGGTCCACAATATACACAAACGGAGGACCGTCGTCGGGCATTGGAAGGTCGACCCAAGTGTCCGTCGCCACTAGAACCTGAGGCCAAGTGACTCCGTCAAGGGACAAGCCGAGCAGTTTGCGTACTGTGGACTTTCCTCCATCGGCCGCCACCAGATATGATCCCTCAAAGGAACGCTGGCCACCTTGCCCGTCGAGGACCGTCACATTCACCCTTTCTGAATTTTCCTCCTGGCTAACACCAATAACTTTGTGACCGAAATAGACGTGGGAAAGCCCCGAGGCCGTTAGATTGGCCAGGATGACCTCCCTCAACCGATGTTGTCCGAGTATCGTCATGCCGTAACCACATTCACCCTCCTTCGAGGCGGATCCTTTGGTCAGGTCCCAGGAAGCAATCAGAGGACCCCAGCTTCGGCTGTCTGGAGATATCTGTTGAGTGGTCTTCCTCCACGAGAGGCCCCTGAGCAGGTAGCCTTTGTCTCGAACTTCTTCCCAGATTCCTGCGTGCTGAAGAGCAAACTGTGAGGGGCCAAAGTATCCCAATGCACGAGGTGTTGGATAGAGCTCGGTGTCTTGCTCAAACACCACCGTCCGGATTCCCGCTCGGGCAAGGCGCAACGCCAGAAAGAGACCTGTGGGACCACCTCCTACAATAAGAACTGGCGTCTGCGGCGTTGAAGAGCCCATTCTTCTCGTGTCTCTGCTTCTATGGCTGTGATCACTCACAGAGCAAGAGAGAAGTTGTGGATGGACACTCGAGCGGAATCTCCAAGTTTTTCCATGACAGACGCGCCAAGTATCGGAGTATATGCGCTTTGAATGGAGTCATGGCTGGTCATATGGACGATGACTGACTGCTGTTCCTCGACTTTCGCTGGTGCCATGGCCACTGTCACTGCCACTACTGGCGACTGCTCAGAAAAGTCAGCCTTTTGCCCTCAAAGTCACCCACCACTTCCGTGCCGACTGCTCGAGAGTTCGTTCGAGACAATATGACATCCAGAACACCAGCTGGCTGGGCTAGACGAAGCGATTGCCCACCAAGCACGTGGTATGCGAGGTCCAATTCAGCCGATCTTGTTGATCTGACAGCGGGCTCACAATGCGTCACCCGCACATACTTACCGATGGTTCGAATTATGCTTCGAGGTCATGAAGAGGAGGATGGTCGGATGACTGAACTTTTCGCAATCTTTCATGATGAATCCTTGACAAGAATCCTTTGACGATGGGTTACCACTATCAAACAACGAAGACCTCTTCCCCACGCACTTGCGACTTCGAGACCACAGCTTTCTTCGCTTGGATTCGATCCCAGATTTTCGAGGCAAACAATGGTAGACACCTCTTAGAGAGCACACTATTGTCCCCGTGATTGTCTCCTCCCTTTCAGCCGAGTGACAGATTTCTTCCAGGGGACTCCATCCCTAATTCAACCACCAGCAGTCGCACCTGGCATGCCGTAAACCGTCGCGTACCACCCTGCCGGCGCCGCGCCATCGACAAAGATCGTCCGGTCCTGAATGAGCCAGACGTGATCCTCCTCCCTCCGTCGAAACACATCCTTCCACATGCCCCAGTGATCCGGGCTCGCCCGGTCCGTGACCGCCAGGTAAAACGCCTCCGAATGCGCCTCGGCCTCGCCCACAAAGGTGATGTCGATGGTCGTGATGTGGTGGCGGATGTATCTGGCTTCGTTGCCCTGCACCACCTCGACCATGCGCTTGGGGTCCACGGCGACCCCGTTGGGCAGACGGTACAGCGCATCCGGGGCAAACAGCGCGGCCATTGCGTCCCAGTCGGCGTTTTCGCGCGCGAGAGACGCGTAGCGGTGCATGACTGCCGTGATATCGGCGCGGGCGTTGCGTTGCTGTTCTCGTGTCGTCGAGTCCATCCTCTATATCACTCTTTTGACCTGGAGCTGGCGGGATAAGTGAATCTCAGACACTCGATGGTGAGGTGCGCCTTTCGATCAAGTATGGTGTATACTAGATATCACCCCGTGGTATTACTTTGTTTCTGTGCTGACGTGTCACTTGGTACAAGTGTCTAGTACTCAAGAAAAGCGATATCAATCATACCACGAAATCACCTCTCATGCTCGATGACCTACATCCCACATCCCGTATCCCGCATCCCGCAATTATAAATTATATAAGACGAGGAAACTTACTTTCAAGGCATGCCGCATGACTGTCTGGGTTGGACCCTTTCGAGTTTCTTGGGAGAGATGCCTGATACCTGTTGATTGTCTCACCCTCCCTTGCTAGTTGTGTATTAGGCTCGGTTCGGGTGTGGTGGGATCCCCACCTTTTGCTACCTAGACGGAGGCTACGCGAGAAGGACCGTGCATGCATGCATGCATAGTTTCCTCGGCTGGTTAAGGAGGTTCCTGTCGAATCAATGGTGAATTGGAGGTGGAAGTGGAGATGAAGGTGTTTCAAACGGCCATGGATGGCCATCATGGCATCCTCGATCCCAGTATGTCGTTAAATGGATAACATCACGTCTGGCCATATCGGGGAGTGTTGCCTTGACCTGGTGGTCTTCACGATTGCGATTGATGAATGAACACACAGGGCTGAACTGTCCGAGTTCGTGGCTCACACATGACCCTCACGCTCAACCCCTCGGAGGTAGCATAGGATAGGGACGAATAAAGAAGGAACGCTTCGCTTTTATACCTGTCGCAGGAGAACTGTTCTGTGCTCTGCTCTGCTACCAGAAAGCCACCTCCACTGCTGCTGAACCTGAACCAGACATGGAGCCTTTTGTCCCTCGTCCCTGTCCCGAGGGATCGAATGGTCTGCTTCTTGTCGAGATCCAGGACAGATTAGGACATCTCAGAGAATATAGCCCCCCCCTCCTGTCTGTATCCTTTTCCAATTTTCGTAGTTACAACACTTCCAACTATACGCAGAGAGACGTCCCACCCTCGTCCGCAGAAACCTATAGATTAACGCCTCTCTCTATTTCTGGTGTGTCGGTCTCTGCCCTCTTCGGCGTCCGCCGCCGCAATCGGACCAACAGACCTTTCTGCGTGGTGAAGAAGAAATTATACGTCTTCCACGGCTCCTCGGTGGCGCGGTCCAGCTTGAAGTCGCGCAGGAGAGTCGGGATCAGCTTGTGCAGTTCGCTGAGGGAGATCTGATTTCTCGGAAAGAAAAAAAAAGACAAGTTAGTCGGTCAGCTGTTGTGCACCTTTTCTGAGAAAAGATCTTGTCCTTCTTCATGAATGTTCCCACGTGGGGCGGTGTTGCGTGTTGCAATGCTGAGCTGGTTGGGCCTGGCCAGACTCGTAACCAAATATAGAATACTGGGTAGGTAGGCAGGCGAGAGCGAGAGCGAGAGCGAGGAGACTTACATTCTTCCCAAGACACGTCCTCGTCCCCGCCCCGAAATGAAGCATGCAGCGATCCATCTGGGCCGTGCTGTCCACGAGCCACCGCTCCGGTCGAAACTCGTCGGCGTCCTCTCCAAACATAGACCGGTCGTAGTGCACCACCGCCGCGTTCATCCCGATGCGAGTGCCGCCCCCGGGAATCGGCGTGTCGCCTATCACCAGGCCCTGGGGAGGCACGTCACGAGGCAGCGTCAGGCCCACGCTCGGATGGAGACGCATGGCTTCTTTGATGCTCGCGCACAGCAGCGGCAGCTTGGTCGCTTGGGAGTAGGCGATCGGGCCGGTGGTGGGGATGGTGCCGTTTGCCGTCGCCTGGTCAATCTCGGACACGACTTGGTCGTAGATTGTGGGATGTTTCATGAGGAAATACAGCGTCGCTCGCATGGCGATGGCTGTCGTGTCGGACCCTGCGAATCTTTTGGTTTGGGGGCCCCCAGAAGAAGAGTCAGTTCCCACCAATTCCAAACTGAGAATACGTGTGGTGCGGAGAGAGAGAGAGAGAGAGAGAGATCTCGTGTAAACTCACATGGCAGAATATGACTCCTTGGTCATATCCTTGTCCGAAAAATTGACGTCGGCGCCTTTACTCTGCTGAATGGCAAACATTTGCGCCAGCAGGTCGCGGCGCAGCCCCGGGCCTTTGTCGTCGGCGGCGCCCGCGGCGTCGGGATTCTGTAACAGCTCCTTGCGCTCCACGACGCATCTCTTGGCCGCGGCCTCGAGGGTGTTCAGGGCGTGAAAAGCCTGGCGCACCTTGGGGAACAAAAACGCCGAGACAGCCAGGAGTGTCCGCAGGTAGCTGGGGATGACGCTGGTGATGGTGAGAAAGGGCATGAGCAGGTCCAGAGAGGCGATCCAGTTCTCGTGGTCGTGACCCTCGTTCATGAAGCCGAACATTTTGCCGAAGAAGAGCTCGCCGACGACGTCAAATGCGTACCTGTATCGGCCAGTCCAGTCAGTTAGAGAATGAGACTGTTCCCCCCTTTTCACCACGCTTGGGTTTGAGTGTATAGTAGCTGAACAACCAGCGTACGCACATTTGAAGCCACTCCCCCAGGTCCACCACCTCGTCGGCGTCCGCGTACGCGCCCATCCTCTCCATAAACACCTCGGAGCAGTGGTCGATGTACGGCTCCGAGCGGAGGATATTGCTCAGGGAGTAGACGTGGCTGACGATCCTCCTCCGCTCGGCGTGCACCTTTTCGTCGCGCTGGCTGAAGTGGTCCGGGAAGTTGCCGATGTTGGGGTTCTGCCACATGGTGTAGAAGTCGCTCTTGGGAAGCGCCGCCTTCATGGGGTAGATGACGGGGATGGCTCTGGGGTCCGAGCATGCCACCTCGTCCGGTGCGATTCTCACAAAAGGCCCGTACGCCGCGTGCAGCCTCCGCTGCTCGTGTTCCATGTCACCCCGGAGTATGTGCCATGTGATCCAAGCCCGACTGAGACGCGCGAGAAACGGTCCAGGAATGTGTCGCAAGGGGTGGAAGTACGTCGTATAGATGATCCAGCCGGCGGAGTATACAACAAGGGCAATCGCTCCCAGAGACAGATAGCTTTGTGGTAAGAGAAACATCCTGGCGAGTCGAGTACACACACCCACACAGTAACTTACTCTTTTAGCGGTGTTTAAGGAGGAGGAAGCCTCGAAACAAAAGGAATCGAGAGAGATATTGACCCTCTCATGACAGGCGGTGAACTTGTCTAGAGCTGTGTCTGGCTTGAATAGGGTGTTGCAGTGCCGAAGCACAGCTGCCCGCGAAAGCAGCCATGGAACTTGGTTTCTCGCTCGGCCCGAATCTGCTCTGGGGTAAAATGGCTGGATGGGCAACGGGCCCCCTTATTCTCCCCAGCACAACCTTCGGCCCGGGAAGGATACTTCATTTACACTTTCAAACCATGCTACACATGTCTTGAAACTCTTTTCAAGAGGTCGGAATGCGCCCAAAGAAAGTTTGTTGACTCTGTAAGCTAGACGAGGTACTCCTCATCCAAGAGGAAGACAGTCAAGAGAACGGAATATTACTATGTAGTCTCCAGCCGGCTAAACCAGGCAAGATCTCAGGTGCTTTGTAGTGTTTATTGAGCGGGTGCTCTTCTTCGAGCATGAATGTCATAGTAGAGCCAGGCCACGGTGTGCATCTCCCCTTCTCCTGGCGGACTGACCAAGAAGATCGATTCCGTGCCGTTCCACCTCTATTCATGACGAAGACAGGAATCCCAAAACTTCATCTGTGATTTGTGAACCACCACCATGGCAGAAGGCTAATCGCCCAAATCACGGTTTCGTGCCGACAAAGTCGTACTGTCTGATGGCTTGCAAGAAGCGGTACACATCCTCACATATAGGGGTACTCTGGACTCTCCCTTCTTCCAGCAGATCCAGACACGCTTTGGAAGCGTCGTGGAATTCTGTGACGGGGATCAATGCCCCCGTGGGGTGAAGCACACAAGGAATACCCTCCCCTTGCCGTATGACCCTTCCGTGGGGTCCCGTATCCTGCTCGGGATCATTTACTGGTATTCGCGGGGCAGACCCGAACTCCAGCTCGTATTCCTGCTGCGCGCGGCTCGGTTGGAGTTTAAATCCGACGCTGTAAGCCCACATGATCAAGGAAACGCGAAATAACGCGACAGGCCACCAGAGCGGCCGCAGGACCGTATACCTCGGACACTGCAAGGTTTCCAGGACCTGGCCTACATGTGCCAGCGCCTTGAGCGAGGATGGCGACCGAAACCATCGTTGGAACTGTGGTATCAGCGGTTTGGCGCCCGCTGGTCCCTCCCGGCCGGCAAGAAGTTGGATGTCACTGAAACAGATGAGCAACTCCAGCCACACCAGATGGTAAATCAGCTTGCACGCAAGCGTCATCTCAGTCTCGCCGTCGGTCCCGAGGACTCTTTGTCTCAGAATGTACCACTTCACAAGCATGGTTTGCAGTTCTTCCTGCCGGAGGGACGCGAAACTGCTGGTTTCGATATGTGGGTCGTCGGCATAGGACTGTTCGGTACTGACGAATCGATTGCTCTGGACGAACTGGGTGACTTGAGTCTGGATCGCACACAGCAAAAGCCTCAACTGCAATGGGGTGACGTGGCAGTGCCGCTCAAGAAAATCGTGCCGAAGGAACATGCCGTAGAACGCCGCAAGGGATGGCGGGTGTAGTCTCGACGTATTTCCTGGACCTTCGAGTTGACGGTAGCTCCGTACCAACGCACTCCATTCTTCTTCCGTCTCGGCGAAGAAGAGTTCATCCGCCGAGGGAATGGGGCTGCGCATATCCGAGAAGTGGATCGTAGGGGATAGACAGTGGAAGAGGCCAATTTCTTGTTCCACAATATACCAGACATATCCCATACTAGAGGTGGTATGTCAGTTGAAAGAAATCTCCGTGTGGTAGATAGGAGAATAGGAGAAGATCTCACATACCGAGTCTTTCGCTCTCTGTTTATCCAGGCTCCCCAGTTGGCAAAGATGGCCCCGTCATCAACGGGAGCAGCAGACTTGAAATAGCCTCGGCGGAGAAACGCCTGGATTTGTGTTAGATATTCATTCAAAGCAGCGGCTCAAGGGCTCACCGACCGTTGAAAAGGTGCCCCGAAACGCCTCTGCAAGCTCCGCATGTCTCTTGTTGCCACACCAAGCGCTGAACACCGTCACCAGTAGCGCGGTGCTCATGGTCCAAATATCGTTAATTTGATTTTCATCCCTCGTCATGGTCTCGTTGATCATGTTGCGGATGAGGAAGGCCAGCTGGATCGCGAACGATCGAGCCTCCGGCAAAGGTATAGTGACACAGCCAAGCACCATCAAGGTGGAAAAGAAGAGGCCAATGTCGGAATACGCTTCATCTTCGCCCCAGGTGGACTCGAAGAAGGTAGTTGGATGTACCATCGGGTAGAGCAGGGCGAGATTCCGATGATATTCTGCCAGTATTGCTTGGACGGTCTGGAGAGGCGGAAATAGATGCGGAATCTTTCTGACAAGATCTTGATCAAGTGCCTTGGAGACCATGACGTGTATCCGAGAAGAAACAGTGTCACGTAGTCCGCCCGCGACCACTGGGCCTAACGTTCGTTTCAAGCCCGGTCTGCCCTCGAGCGTGTTAATCTGTGCCCAACTCTTCGAATCGTGCAAGAAGTCACAAATCCGGATCACTTCAACTGTAGGTCCCTTTTTCAGAGGATGAGAATGGACCCAATCCGCATATGGATCCACAGCACTGTCCGCGCTGCTTGGCCCATGTGCTCCATGGGCAGAACCCTGGCCAGGCCCTTGTCCTAGAGCCAGGTCGTCGAGAACAAAGGTCTCGGGAAACCAGAAAAGTTGCGTGAGGTTCTCGTACTCGAATGGATTGTGACAGTCGAGTGAAGTAAAGTCGTTCCAGTTAGGTCCATCACTCAGACCAAATGAATTCAGGGGCTGGGTGTCTGCAGGATTTACCAGTGGCTCTGTTGACTGCTGTTGAGAAGGGGGTTCTGAGTCCCCGTCTACGGGCACTTGACTGCAAGAATTGTCGCCAGACTGCCTGCTCGTGTCAACACTGTCTATGTCACCGTTAGACGTTACGAGCCTCCCTCTTCATCGTGCAACAATTTACCTTGGCCATCTGCACATGTCATGTTTTCGTTGGTAGACTGATGAAAACGAGGAGTCAGCGGTTGCACTTGACTATCATGGTGGGAATGCTTACTCCCAGATCTTGCCAGGCTGAATCTTCTGGTCGGGTGTCGGCCGCCTCGATCTCCTCACGATCCTCGGTGCTAGTGCCACGATTCTGACGAGCAAGCTCGTGGCCCGGGAGGACACATCGCCGCTTGAGGACATGTGGTCGATCCAACGTACAATGTCTTCCCCGCGCAAGACACTGACCACAAGGGAACTTCCCATCACATTTCGTCTTTGATCGGGAGCAGGCGTCGCAAGCAGCAGAAGCTCGCTTTGACCGGGTTGAAATTCCCTGGCTGGAGGTTGTTGAGGAGGAAGACGCCTTTTCCGGAGACCGGTGGATAGAGGCATGCCTCTTCAGAGCGTCACTAGCACCAACAGAATCAATTTTGAATCCCTCGAAACCAAACTTGGAGAAGTAGTGGGCCACTTACCTTCGGCTGAATGTCTGCGAGCATACATCACAGCGGAATGATCGCAGCTCCGTATCTTCCCCAGGATTCAATCAGCCTTCTCGTCACAGGAGCTTGGATCAAAGCCCTACGTTTGATCATGTGTCGCTGTAAGTGCTCTCTCCTGGAGAAGCTCCGCTGACATAAGGTGCAGTGATATCCTGAGCCGGTGGATAACATGAGACTTCGCCCGTAGCAGTCTGGCGCACGGACTGGTTGGTATGGTTATGGATACCTTTCTGCTGAAAGTGTGGGTGCACGTTTCGGCGAGCAATCGTCGGCTGACCCAAGAACTCAAGTAGAGTAACGACGTGAGAAAGGATCAGTTCCAAAAGAACCGGTGGTGCCGGCTGTCCACAGCCTGGCTTGTTGGGAGCTAGGGAGGTACTTGGCTCCTTCAGTCACACTCAAGACCCTTCCCCGGTATCAAAGAACTTCCAGCTGCTGCGTTAGTCCGTAATACCAGCAATCTGGCATCAAATTATTCGAGACTGCTGCCAGCGTCGGCGACTTGGCTGCCTCGCAGACATGGTTGAGGCTTAACTTCGGCTCGGTTGTGGTGGAGGTGGAACCGTTCCCCAGCCTTGACCATCTAGTGGGAAGCCATTGATTATGCAGGAAGCTTCTTTGGTCCAGGAACGTGCCTTCTGATAGGACACGAGCCCTTTCCGCGTTGCGTTCCTGCAAGTTATCGATAGATGGGACTTGACGTTCTGATGTCTTCTTGGTAACCGTGGACTCGTGCTGATCCAGTGATTCTGGACGCTGATTGAGGCTTGCAGAGAACTAGCTCCCCAGAGATGCCGCAGCAGCCAGCCTCTAGGTTTATTAGATGGGCTGTTGGGACGCTGTCCAAGCATGGCTCATTTTCAGGGGGTTAGCCCCAGCAGAAGTGGTATTTTCTGTACCCGAGTTGCCCATTATTTTTCTGGCACACCTCAACGCTAGCCTCACAGTACCACAACCTACGAGTCGTCGAGGCTGAAGAGAATATGTGGCCGAGATCGGAAATCAAGCAAGATGCTCCTCGGGAGTGGCCCGACACGTGACTGTTCTTCCCCGCACCGGCGAATCACCGGTTGCTATCACCGACGTGGCAGCCTCGTGCGGGGAAAGGCTCCCAGTGTCAACAACGACCGAGCCCGGAGGTACTGCAGATTCCCCAGATCCAACCACGTTACTGATTGTCCCTCTGGTGGTGAGCAGTGACAATCTAGCTATCAGGCTTTGAGAAGTGGGAAGAACCCATCGAGTTGCTGAGGAGTCGCACAGATATATTTGGAGCACTACGAACGAACGACAATCAAGATGGGATCCGTGCAGCATGACTTTACGAGGCTGGTCTATCAGGTCAGCTCCCTGAGAAAAGCCTGGTGGAGGACGAATGGCTGTTGTACCAGGAACTACTCCTCCTCGCTCAAGACAGGGCCAACAAGAAACAACCGGATACCATTCTCGCGCTGGGATGTCCGACCCAAGTCGACCACGCAGAGAGGCGTGGTGGTGTTGTCTCACCGCCATCAAAGCACGCTCAACGTTCCCAGCTCCGAAGCGTTCCAGTTCAATGCACCCTCCAGTCGACCTCTCTCCGATATAACAATCGTGGCTCTCGAACAGGTCATCTCCATGCCTCTTGCAACTCGCCATCTCGCTGATCTCGGCGCTCGAGTCATCAAGATCGAGCGTCCGGGGACTGGAGACTTTGTACGGCACCACGACAAGCGCGTCCGTGGGAAGCTCTGCAGCCACTTTGTATGGACGAACCGCAACAAGGAGTCCCTCGCCTTGGATATCAAGAAACCCCAAGACATGGAAGTGCTCCGGAAGCTGGTCTGTGAGAAGGCCGATGTCTTTGTTCAAAACTTGAGGCCCGGTGACGCTGAGAAGATGGGCCTGGGTTACGAAGACATGAAAGCTATGATGAACGCCGCGTTTCCCGGTGAGGCGAGGGGCGACAGGTTGATCTACGCATCGATCAGCGGGTACGGAGGTAACGGTCCTTACGCACATAAGAAGGCGTATGACCTCCTCGTTCAGGCGGAGGCGGGCTTGTTGAGCATCACAGGCACCAAGGATGAGATGGCCAAGGTGGGATGCTCGATAGCGGATATCGCCGCGGGCATCTATGCGTACAGCAGCATTCTGGGAGCGATCATTCAAAGACAGAAGACTGGGAAGGGATGTGTGATTGACGTGTCCATGCTCGAGTCGCTGGTCGAGTGGATGGGGTTCCCCTTGTACTACGCGTTTGAAGGCCAAACAGCCCCCAAGCGAGCTGGGGCTGCTCATGCGAGTATCTATCCATATGGCCCATTCTCAACCGGAATCTCCCCTGATGGCAGCTTGAGTGCCCAGGTCATGCTTGGCGTGCAGAACGAGCGAGAGTGGAAGATCTTGGCAGCGGATGTCCTCGAGCGCGAGGACCTGACCACCAATCCCAAGTTCAAAGACACGGCCTCGCGGAGTGACAATCGCGCCGAGCTCGAGGCCATCATCAGCGGCATCTTCGCCTCGTGGGGCGGCGGCGCCGACGAGGTCGTCAGACGGCTCGAGAAGGCCGGCATCGCCAATGCAAAAGTCAACGACATGCAAGGGGTATGGGAGCACGAGCAGCTCGCGGCGCGCAGACGCTTCGGGCAGGTGGACACTGAGGTTGGCCCGATCCCAGCCTTCTTGCCACCTGGGATGAGCGCCGATGTGGATGCGAGGATGGACCCGATCCCCGCGGTGGGAGAGCACAATGACAAAATCTTGCGGGAGCTTAGCTCTTCCAAGGCAAAGGTGTAGAAGCAGTTAGCCCTGACCCGTCTAACTTTGCTCACTCACTGGTGGACATTGATTCGCGATTGAGTTGTTTAGGCCAAATTTATATTCGCCCGCACCAGGTATCACCTTGTGAAAGTCTCGAGATCCATCTGGGCGGTGCAGGCATATGCTAGCCACTCGTACGAGTAGACTGCAGGATGGACGAATCTATAAAAGATACATTTTAGCCAGGCACACCAGGGGAATAATAATCATCCTATGCGGGCAACGCGGCCCGCCTCACCGGAATGCTCCACCACAGATCTATTCTCCGAGTACTTGCGGCCGCGGGGGTTGGGGTCCAGGGGCCCAGTGCCCAGTGCCCAGTAGCAAGGGGGCTCACTCGTACGCGAGTACCTAATCGGTCCTCCGTATGCCCACAATGAAACGCAGAGATCCATCTGTGACAAGGAGGAGGAGGAGCAGCATTGATTAGATCTTGATTAGTGGTCATAATCACTACCACCTAAACGGCAAAAGGCCCTACCAACTAGTATATAGCTCGAAGCTGGAAAAAGACACAACAGAATCCTTTGTTCCCACAGACAGATAGACAGACCAGACAGACATGACTCCGCACGATCCATAGACACAAACTCTCATCATCATGAGTCGCCGTTTCACTGCGGTGTCCCAGCAGCTAGCCCAACCCGGTATGTGTAGGGTGGGCCCCCAACGGCGCCCCAGGCTGAGCCTCCGAGGTTAGGGTAGGGTGGATATGACCTATATTTTGAGAAATAGAGATGGAGATGCAGAGAGACAGAGATGGCCACCGCACTTGAAAACTAGACACTAGGATTAGGACTAGATGGAAACCCCTCGAGCTGAGCTTGGACCTCATAACACAATGTTGGTAAGGAAGGTTTGTTTGTAGGTACTGTAGACCAGACAAGGGAGAGGTGGTAAAATAATCTCATTTCGGTACGTGAGCCGTGCCAGGGATCTCGGGCGTGTCGTCGGCAAACTCTGCCTCGCGTCTCTTCACGCGGATCCGGTAGATGATGAAGCCGATGATGCCGGCGATGATGAGGAGGCCTCCCACGCCACCGACCGCGCCGCCCACGATGGCGCCCGTATGGTTGGAACTGGATTTCTCCGTCTCTATCGGGGTAGTCGTCGTCGACGAGAAAGGTGCTGAGGAGGTGGTGGGAGGGGTGGTAACTGGGGAAGGCGGTGTTGTGGTCGGCGGGGGACTGGGTGTTGTCGTTGGCGTCGTCGTCGTCGTCGTCGTTACTGATGTCGTCGTATCCGAGGGCGCTGCACTGGCCGTCACAAAGGCCGCGGACGGGCCGCAGCGGTAGGTCGTGTATGAGTTGACTGCGCCGTAGTAGAGGACGATGGTCAAGCATTCGGGATACAGCGTGTTTCGTCCACTGTATAGAGAGAAGTCGTCGATATCAGCAACCTTCCCATGCTACCGAGGCTTTTTCAAAGGAAAGAGAGCGGTAAACAACATACCAGACACCGGTTTGTAGACCCAGGCATCCACTGGTCACACCACAGATGGATGAGCTTTGAGCCACATCGACACAGCTGGTCGTGTAGTAGCAATCGCTGACGAAGTTGCCCTGTGCGTCGACAGAGCAACATCCCATGTAGCCCAGGTCGGCATTGTATGCACAGTATTCACCCGAGGAACATGTCAACGGCGCATCATTGACCAAGGCACATGTGTCGGTCAGGTCTCTCTTCTGCAGTCGGCGGCGATAGACATTATAGTATGGCGCAGGAGTCGGCACTGGTGACCAGCCACGAGGATCGAGGCCGACAACACCAGTTTCGATGGCTCCAGGATAGTCGAGGGCATACACCAGACCCAGGACATGGAAGAAAAGGGCAACGACAGCAAAGAACATGGCTTGTGCGTGGTTTGGCTGGGTGGTTACTTGCTGCGTGAGTATCTTATCCTTTGATGCTTATTCTCTTCGCGAGAGAGAAGCTCTTTTCTTTTCCTTCGAATTTCCCCCTCCTTGGATTGATAGAAATTGAAAGGACTTATTCCTAGAATGTCTCTTCCCTGACCTCGGCCCCTCTTAAGCATTAAACCATCTTCCCACCGGCAGCCTGATGGTGCTCTTGCGGCTGTCGCCACGGTCCCTCACCCAACCCCCCCCCCCTCCCCCCAGTCTGGCTTTTGGTGGCTTTGATGGCATCATGCACAGCCAGAATTTGTGAAAGGTATACGAGATAGCGCCCAATAGTCTCCTGCAGGGGGCCGATTTAGACCAACTCGACTTCTCAGCTGCCACGCGTGCCATGCTGCTTTTAACGTCTTCCACAATGCGCGATCAGGCTGAGCCTCAGCGTCATTGGCTGCATATCGATGACCAGGAATTGCCCAGACCGACCTGGCCCCCTTCCCAAGCTGCTTTTGGGCTTTTGGGCTTTTGGGCTTGTTTGCCTTGCAGGACTAACTGGTCCAGCAGAAACCTCGTCCTCGTGTCTGCACGTTGAGTAACCTGATGATTGTCCGACTCGAGTGCCTTTTTCCTGTCCAACTGGCCGACTGAACCCACCCCCCTCCCTGCTTCTCAACAGACAACTGCGCCTGGTTCTGCCTCGTGGTCGGCTGACTCTGTGTCTGCCGAGTCTGCTCTGGCTGCCCAGAAACTCGGAAACGAGAATATTGGCGAGATAACAACCCCTCTTTTCTGAACAAGTGTGCCCCCCTTTCAGCCTCATCACTCGACCCTTTTCGTTCGGAAGCGATAGGATGGTCCAAGACTGGTAAAAATCGCGCACGCTCTAGTCTAGGACTATCATTCGGAGCGAGGGGTTCTATTTCCCTCTTGACCTGAATCTTTGAACCTTTCACCAAAAAAAGAGACAACTGACCAAAAAAAAACCATGAGCGCGAATCCGTGGTCGGCTATCACGGCCGGCGTCAGTTCGGGCTTGACCTTTGTCTTCAAGATCTGCGAGGTCACCTACGCCCTAAGGGCCGTCGATCAACAGACGAGAGAATACCTCATCACCGCCCAGCACGCCTGGACCAACATCAAGACCTGCCGCGAGCTGCTGAGCCACCAGCAAGATCTGCTGCCGCTGTCAGAGCGCAGGGACTATGAGCGCGTGTTGGAGGAGACAAAGAGGGCGGCCGAGGAGGTCGCTCTCCTCCTCGAGCCCGCACGGGTCGACCAGGACGCCGACTGTCGCATCCACTTCTCGACGCGGGTCATGTGGGTGTTGAGCGACAACTCGAGCGTCACGGCCGCACTGAAGCGGTTGAACATCGTCCACACCACGCTCACGCAGAACATTTCGACGCTGCGGCTTCTGCGGTCGTACGGCACGGCGGGGGGTGATCCCGCCCGTGGCAGGAGAGACAGACCGCCTAGCTACAACACCAGCCAGCTGCTCCAGTGGAAGCACATGAGCAGGTCGACCCCGAAGCCCAGCACCGACAACCTCCGCGCCCGTGCTCTGCGGGAACAGCCTCTTGCACAGGGGACACCAAACCTCGAACCCACGACGCCCACGTCACCACCACTACCACTACCGTCACCACAATCACCACAATCACCACAATCACCACCACCGCCCGCACAATCACCACTTCCAACGATGAGAGAACTCCCCTCAGAGATGCCGGCCGACGTGCCCGCGCAGTTCTTCCGCAACGTCCCAATCCAGAGGAGTCCGATCAGCGAGCCCTGGCCGAGTCCCGTCCGCAGTGAATCGAGCACTCTGGTCGAGGCCCCCTGTGGGGACGAACCAATGGCGCCCTTGAGAGCGACGGCGTCAGCACCGGGTTCGGCGACAGGGACCGGGTCAATAACCGGATCCACACTGGGGACGGGCGAGTACCAGCCGAGATCATGGCTGGAGCACCAGGCCATGAAGTCCAGTATGCTCCGGGAGCGAAGGGCCAGGGTAGTCAACCGGGTCTGAAGCAGGACCACTTCCAAAACGAGAAGGAGGGGCCCATTCATTTATTATTATTGACTTGATTTATAAATTCATAGTTTCGAGAGTTTCTCCGGTCTTGTCGGGGGCCGGAGGCGTTCGTTATATGATTGATTGAATGAATGTATGTATGTAGTTGAGGGTTTTGCTTTTTGCCTCCTACAGTACAAGTAAATTTTTTATTGAAAAAAAAAAGACATGAAATGAAATGAATGAACCAGCCACTGTTACTTGTCATATTACCTCACGTCAGGAAACTAAATAAAGAAAAAGACATATTTCAATAGACCTCAAAGGAGACGAGAATACCCTCACACGCGCCTCTTGACGAGGAGTTGAATGGTCTGGGCGGGCTGGATCTCCCGTCCCATACCGTCATGCGTCTTGACCAGCGACGGCACCGTCACGACCGTGGGCGTCGTCGCGCGCCGCGCCGCCGCAGTGTCCGGCGGAGGCGCGGGCCCCGGGCCCCAGTCGAACCGGAACGTCGCGGGCTGCGCGTACAGCCAGAGCGCCATGCGGACCGCGGTGCGCAGCACTTCGGCCAGGTGCTTGACCTTTTGCTCCGCGTTGTGCGGCTGGCTGAAGGCGGCGAAGCGGTCCGAGAACGCCTGGGCGAGGGTGTATAGGTGGGCATCCTGGTCTGCCGTTGCGGCGGTGGCAGACTCGGGTACGTCCTTCCCGTCGAATATATCTGGGCGCAGGTATGCGGTGAGCATGCGCCAGCGAGAGAGGGCTAGGTGGAAGTCTATACTCTTGGTTAGTTTTTTTCTGTCTGTTGTACAGGACACTTTGGGGGGGAGGGGGGGGGGAGGGAGACGTACTGCGGTCATTGGGCTTGGGCGTGGCGAGGAGAAGCATGTTAGACACCTCATAGGGTAGTAGGCAGTCCGAGGAGTGCGATGGAGTGACCAGCTGCACGGCGTGATAGGCGAGGCAGTGCTTGATGACGGTGACCTTGCGGTGAGATGTCTCCAGCAGAGCACCCAGCGGCATGGGCAACTCCGGGGTCCCAAATCTGGAGAGCTCATTCTGCTCGTCGGCCGTCAGTTGCACGGGCTGCTCGCTGTAGTAGTTGTCGACGTGGAGTTCAATCTGGTCAAACAGAAGCAGAACCCTCTGCTTGACCGTGGCATCGTCGGTTTGCTGCGGGAGGAAAGCATCGATGTTGACGTCGGGCTGTGCGGCAACGGGAGCAATGTTCGAGCGGACCAGAGACTTGTCTGGGTCTTTGTCACTTCTCAACGATTTGTGGGCGAGACGGGAATGTGTTTTGTGATGCCTGGACTGAGACTTTGACTGGCGTCGACGTAGGAGAATCATGAGTATCAGGGCGAGAAGAGCACCGAGCGCGGCACAACCAATGGCCACTCCAGCGATTGCTCCGTCAGAAAGGTGGTTTGAAGCCGTCGGCTGTAGGGTTTGTGGAGTGCCTGTCGCCCCGGACGAAGGTGACGATGAAGCATTCGTAGTCGTGAGAGTGCTTGATGGGATGTTTGCTGTAAGACTTGAGGAGGTGCTCGTAAAGAGAGCTGGTATGTTGTCTGTGTCAGTCTCTGTAGAGGCTGCTGGTGCACTGCTTGCTGAGGGTTCTGAAAAGTCGCTTGGAGAAGTGCTGGTGGTGGTGCTCGATAAGGCTGCATTAGAGGCATTGTCCGAAGTTGACGCTTGAGTATCGGGGGAGGGATTGTCAGACATGGCGGCCAACTTTTTGGGTCAATATCTGCGTTCGGGTACGAATCGTGCAAGAAGAGGACGCTCAACCGTTTAATTCATTTGAAATTGTTTTGCCTGGTCAAGGTCCTTCTTCCTTTGCACCGAGCACGGTGAGGCTGGGATTCATGAATACGAGGTGGGTGGGTTCACAGCCCCCATGCACCAAGCAACCATGGCCGCCAGCCTGATCCAGAACAAGCCCACCACGACCTTGTCTCACTGACATTGCATTTTGGACCCATCGACGTGCATGAGAAGGGTGGTCCCCCATTCACTTGCTGCTTTTAAGGATGCCTGTGGACGTACACAGCCTCCGTGCTGGGGTGGCGATAGCTTCTTAGGCTGAGCGAAGAGGAATGAGAGACTAGTTGGACTGCCGTAGGCCTGATTCCCTGAAGAGGCCAACCTATGCCGCCCGAGACTTCTCTGAACTTGCTTGAAAAAAAGAGGACTCCAGAAAATCAATCATGGCCGGCAACGCCCAACCCGAGCTTGTCATTGGAGTTGACTTTGGCATGTCACAGACAGGTATTTCCAATGGGCCCGACGTAGAACAGCAATTGACTTGATGTAGGCGTGGCATACTGTACTGCACCATGGACAAATCCTTCAACTTTTCAGAGCTGGACTACCATTGCATCCGAGCTTTTCAACAAGGCGCCGTCGCGTCTGGCATATGACCATGGGACGGCGAACATAAAGTCTTGGGGCTTCTTCGCCGACGTCGCGGATAAGACGGTCGACATCAAAGAGTATTTCAAGCTCCATCTCGACCCTGAATATGGAGAATGGAAACTCCTCTCACACCAAGACGCACGGCGTTATTATCTGGACTATATGAGATGTGTGCATGACCATATTGCCCGGTATTTCCAAACTCGATATGCACAATGGGCGACAATGCGAGTCGAGTGGAACTTCAGCGTCCCCACAACTTGGAAGCATGCTGGAATGGTGCGAGACCTTTTAGAGATTCTTAAACTCGCTGGATTTGGACGCGATGGCCCGTACCATTCCTCGGTGGTGACGTTGACTGAGGCTGAGGCAGCAGCCGTTTGTGTTGCGAAGCAGATGTTGAAGGTTGGTTTTCATTTCCTCCTGATTCAATTCGATGCTGAAACACCGCGCATAGCGTGACGACGTGATCTTGGTGTGCGATGCAGGTGGAGGCACGACGGTATGGAAGTAACTTGATCGCGCTGTGGTCATGCCGCTGACAGTTGAAAAGGACGTGAACATCATGAAAGTAAAGTCTGAGATGGGAGAGACACTCAGACTGGAGCAGTTGCTTCAGGTCGAAGGTCAGTGCTGCAAAGTTGTGTGTCTGCTACTTGGCTGATTTCATTGCAAAGGACGAGAGGTCGGCTCAGCACTCATCGATATCAAGGTACAACAGCATCTTGCCAGCCGCTTGGCCCTGGTGCCGGAGATTTTGCACCCTCCAGAGACAGCCGAGAGAATGATGTTGGGCAGATTCGAGAGATTCAAGTGCAGTTTCGGAAGCCCAGGCATGACGGCTCCAAAGTTGTTCTTGCCGGTGGTTGGGCTCCCTGCGGGCTTGGACTACCCGCAGGCCGGGATCAGAGACTCTCACATGGAGATCGATCAGGATACCATCCAGCACCTGTTTGACGAGCAAGTCGACGGCCTGCTTGAACTGATAGAAGAGCAGCTGCATGCACTCAAGAGAAACCGCCCCGGGGAGCAAGTCTCATATTTGATCATGTCTGGAGGCCTGTCAGCATCTGAATACATCCAGCGCAGGGTGAAGACACATTTTGAGTCCGGAGCAGGAGCCGAGATCCCAAATATACGCGGCCTGCGCATGCTTCTCGCCGAAAACTTGTAAGTTGACCATCATGCCGCTTGCGAATGAAGACTGACGATTATTTATAGGCAGCTTGCTGTGGTCCAAGGACTCGTCAGCTATCGTGCCCAAGAAATAAGCAAAGGTCGTCCACCAATTGAGCAGCGCTGCGCTCCCGTCAGCTATGGCGTTGTTGTCAATCAAAAATACAGCCAACAAAGGCACTTTGGCCAAAGAGTCGTCCGAGATAAAAGAGACGGACAGAGGTGGGCAGTAGACCAGATTGAATGGCTGATCCGAAAGGTGAGTTACTCCTTGTTCTCTTGCTGGAAAAACAACATCGAGTAGACTGACTCGAGCGAAGGGTGACAAAGTCACCGATAATGGCCTCGAGAAGATGTTCAAGGCAAAGTTGAGTCCTGCACAGTACCGAAAACCATGGCAAGCGCAATTCGTGGTGTCGACACGACCTATAGACGCCCTCCCACAGAGCATGGCCGAGAAAGACCATGTGAGGACACTCTGCACGGTGACTGTCGATCTTAAACTGGTCGACCGGCATGTGCGAAACAAGCACTGGTGGAATTTCGGGGAGCGTTATGAGCTTGCCCATTTCCGTCTCAGGCTCATTCCTGGAAGCTTCGATCTGAAATTCCGCCTGCTTAGCGGAGGAAGGCTGGTGAACAGTGAGGATGACCAGGTAAAGGTCGACTGGAGCGGTGGCGGATCTCACCGTCAATCAACCACGAGCAACGATGATCTGGATCAGTGGCACACAATGTCCTAGGACAATTTCATTGCTGAAGGAGTTCATGTAGAGTTTTCAGTCACGGGACGGATGCATGTACTTTCTGTATTATATATCTTTTTCCACTTGATGCTTCTTCCATTTGAAAAGAATGGAGAAGGAGTTGTGGCAAAAAGTTTTGAATAGAAGATAGCGGTTTAGTATCTATGGTATTTCCGAAAATGGTTAGCCAGAACATGCCCTGGAGCTAGTCGCATTGATGGTTGGCCAGATCCTCCGGATATACTAGCATAGACCAGCCAAATGTCTCGTAGAGGTATCAAAGGCAATGAAAGGCAATGCACAGTACTGATCAGATCCAAAAGTGGCTGCAGATTAGATTCTGGGTCGAATGGGTCGTGAAAGAGTAGGCACTGAGGACGAACCTATGGCAAGCTTACTTCAGTACCCTCGTCACCGTGCTTGTCTCCTGGGAACACCCTCAGATCACTCATCCATCTGCCATTGATACCGCAACTCTTCTTCTCTCCCTCTCTTGGAACGGGCCTGGAACCATTCTTTTTCAAAACCATTACTTCGATCGACCCCATCCCACCGCCAGCCCGGGAGGATTCCATACCGATTCGGGGCAGCTGGAGGACCTGTATAAACCTTCTTCCTCACTGCCACCCTCCCAGAATTTTTCGTTGATACAGCGCGGTCCGTTGCGGCTTCTTCCGCCTGTTGTTGTGCCATGTATTCGGCCATAGGGTCATCCCACCTGATTTTAGCACGTAGCTCATCGTTCATCGCTTCATCGTCCACGCCCCGGGCTAGGCTCAAGAACTTCGCTTCCTCCAATTCTTTCCTACGTTCTTCCCGCTCCCGCCGCTGCACATCACCCATGGCATCCTCCTTTGCTTTCCTTTCGGCTCGCGCCTTCTCCTCCGCTGCGGCTCGAGCTTCTGCTCGCTTCAGGCTGATGTCGATGCGTCGGCCGGTGGCGTCACGGTAGATGGTTTCCTCCTCCTTAACTGATCGATCCTTGTGTTTCCTTGATTTGGTCCTCGAATTGAGTGATTCGAGTTCCTTTTGCTTCTCACGCTCTTCCTTCTCGACCAGGGCGGCGGTGTCCGCAGCAGTCTGGAGACCGGCCCGAATGCCAGACTGCATGCGAGGGCCGCCGTCTTTCTCTTCAACAATCGTAGGAGCGTCTTCATCCTCGATCTCCTGGCGGCGCAGTCGAGACTCTTCCGCAGCTTCAGCAAGGATCCTGTCTGCTTCCTGATCCTCATCCCTATTTCCCGACGTCAAGGAAGTCGTCGAAGCTGCAGTCGCGACAACCTTCCAGCTTCCTCCACCTTTCTTTTTCCTGAACTCCGCAGACTTGACGCCAGCTTCAAATATTGGTACATCTCCATCTTCTTCATCCTCGCCCAACTTTCCTCGTGAAGCGGTGCCTCGAAGGGACAGGGGTTCGTCATCGTCTGCGATTACCAGTCCACCTTCAACGGATTCATCCTTATTCTTGCGGCGCTTTTTCTTTGGACGAGTCGAATCTTGGAAATCTGACGATTCAGGTTGGGAAGGAGAGCGGGACGTGGAAGCTGTGAGATAGTTCTTCGCTAGGTATGCGGCAAGATTTGCACTGGGCATTATGCCGGTGACTTTGCTTCGCTGTGTTCTTCTGGTCGGCGCACTCTACCAGGATCTGGTTATTGGGCGCCGGCGTGGCTGTGAGGGCCGGTACATAAAGAGATAGTTGCGATAATATTAGTGATTTCTCCCCAATGTTTGTGACATTTGTTAGGTTTGCACGGTTTGTTAGTTTCAAAAGACGTCATTGTTGTTTGGGGCTGAACGCGTCACATGCTACCCATATTCAGAACCTGATGGGAGGTTAGGTGAGACCATGTGCTCTGACGATAAGACAGGTTGCCTGGATTTCTAATGCTAAGTATTGCTTAATCCACCGTTGCTCCTTATTCCCAGCTGTGGTTTGATAATCAAACGCCAGTAACAACATAGGAACACTCATCAATAGTTGGTAGTGTTCCTCCTCTCCAAGGTCATTCATATCCTCAAGAAGCGCCGTGTAGTACCCGTGATGATAGCTCTATTGATACAGCCTCGCTTCCCTAATGAGTCCTTGGGGTATCTCTGATGAAACGAAAACATACAAACAACAGCAACTCGGTTGCCCTGTTTGAGAATCATTATAAGTGTGAAAAGCAACTGACAACGCCGGTCCCAGGTCTGCTCCAACCTCACAGAGAGTTGTGCACAAGATCGGGAGTTCACTTCAAGTGAGAGTAGTGGACGAGCTCGAAATCGTCGTCATCGTCCTCTGTAGAAACCTCGGCCATCTCCTTGTCGTCAATGACGTTGTATTCCGCACTGATCAGTTTCTCGGTCTCGTTGTTCTCGAATCGTCGGACAGCCTGGATG